TATGCAAGCTTAAGCTGCAAAATCATCATCCCTAAACATTGGAAAAAAAAGAAAGTAGATATGAACATAATTATTACACACATACAAACTATATGAATGTAATAAATATTGTTGGCTAACTATATAGTAATTTCTAGGCTAATAAATAAAATCATTCAAATATTCAAAGAGATGCCAAGGGAGTTAGCCGTGAACCTCTCAGAAGCAGTCTTCCTCACCAACGACCCAATCTCGGGCGAAAGGCCAGTTCCAAAGTCGGCCTCGGGGACTTCGGGGATGGTAGAGAGCGACCCGACTTCATAGAAGACATAAAATCCATCTTTGGGTTGATCTCGAGCCCGAAAGATGGACGTTTTAGAATTAGATTTGGGTCGAAAGAGAGAGCGGAGGAGTTTGTAGAGAGAGCGAGAGAGTTTAGAAGAAGCCTTGGACATGGGTACACAAGAGCGGGGCGGGGGCGGAGGAGCGGGGCGGTCGGATAAGTGAGGCATGGAGAGGGTTCGTGAGGCTATGGCAGAGTCAAGGTGTTGTTTGAAGGAATTGAGCTCGAAGGAATCATAGAGAGAGCTTCCACAGTCCCAAACGGGAGGGCTGTTGGGGCTGTGATTGGGTTTGGGTTGAAGGGTTGGTTTTTCCATGCCTTGTTTGTTGTTGCAGAGATGAGAAGATGGTGATAATATTTGAAGGTTGGTGAAGTTTGAAAGGGAATGGCTATGAGGAGCGAACTAAAAAGAGGTAACTTTTGCATTATGGTTCACGCCCATGGCTTAAGAGCCATAAGAATTTGTCCCATTTTAGTGACAGACTTTCATCCATATCTCACTTAACCTCTACATTTATTACAAAACTGTTCTAACTTTTTATCTATTATCCCTTTTTGTTCCAACCAATTTAAATATTTTTAAACTTAATTATCCGAATATAAATTTAAATTTTAAATAATTCGAAAGTATACGGACTAAATTTATAAATTTAAAAGTTTAAATATTAAATTAAAAAAATTGTGGGCTCGAGTTGAATTTTGACTTGCACCACTAATTAGTGGTAATAGAGTCCACTGTCTAAATGTCCATTAGGTTAAAATATAATGAACTAAAATTTGATTTTAATACAGAAATTTGTGCCCGTAAATGGTATTAATTAGTGGTTAAATTCAAAATTACATAAAATACACATCAAATTAAAATGAGACTATATACCCCTATAGTTTTCTCGATGTTTTAATTATTAAATTAATTTATTGGAAAATGATATCATAAGGATTTGAAAATGATGTTGAATATTTTTATATCACCTTAAATTTTGTTGGTTTGACTTGCATATTAATCGTTTGTTGGCTTTAATCTTCCAATAATTATGATAGTCGTTGAATATGGTTCAATTAATTTTATTTATAATTTGTCATATTTATTTATTTCCTTTTTTTTTTTTTTTTTTTTTTT